GAATATTCAATAAAGGAACTTTTTTTTAAACCTGTGTCAAAAACGAAGTTGAAAGTGCAGTTTCATTACGATGGGACTGAATTCATCGAAACCAATTTGATTGCATGACGAAAATGGAAGATTAATTCATTAATCACCCTTTAACTCTTCTTTGTCTCTTCGCCATGAAACAGGTTTTGAAGTTTTCAGTCTCAGTTCATCAGTATTGATTCAATAGCTCTTGGTAGCTTTTACATTTTGTCCTTACTTAAATATTACTTTGAGACACACTGAGAAAAAAAAGTGTGGTCAAAAGTATCAGAATATTATTGCATTTACCTTCTTTCTGGCTCTATGGGAGCACCAAAAAAACGAGAAGAACAGAAGCACTTTTGTAATGACTTTTTTGGTTAAATTAGTGAAAAAAAATTTGGTTCTTATTACCTTGATGTTTGGAAGTAAATATGGTAAAATTAGGTAATTTTAATCATAAGTTGGTAATTTTAGCAGTGCTGGTATAGTTGAAGATGACGCAAAAATGTTTATTTTGATGACCTCGATTTCAGTTAGGAAACACTTGCTATCTTTCCTCTCGTAGGTTATTTGTTTTGATTTTTTCTCATTGCAAATTATCATCTACCAGCCTTTAAAATTATGAAAAAATATGCATTTTTTATATGCATAAATGCCAGGCTGACCTAAATCAGTAGCTTAACTATTACTAAACAACACTAGATGAATTCATTTATTTATTGTTATGGACACATTCGCAGACTTATGTGCTCAATACAAAGCTCGGCTAGTATGCCTTTGCAAAGTCCATATACAGGTAGCACTAGATAGAAAAAAACAGCGCACATTTACAGCCTGATACACGGTGGGATTTGAACCAACTACCTCCATCTTGCAATAGATGCATCTATATAATGTTTTACTCTTATTTGAGTATTATTTTCTTAAATCTGAGTGGAGCTTGCAGAGGGTGTTTCGTATTAAACATACAGGCCTGCATATGTATGAGTAGCAATTAATAACAGAAGAAATTCTTATAATGGTAATGATTTATTTTTAATTATTTTTACACCTGTCTCGTCTTTCCCCAAAATGCTATTTAAAATAGAGGTTGCCGGTCCGAATCAAAGCGTAAGCGAGGATATGTAAATGCGAACAAATAAATTTGGAATGAATTGGTTCAGAATCGTTTACATAATAAGAAATAATTGATTGTCTCTTTTCAAATTACAGAACCGATAGCATAGGAATAAGAAAAACAGTTCAAAGAAATTTAACCCACTACTTGTACGCTTCTGAGCGTTCAGCAGAAGGACAACACTCCGCGTCAATGGTCACCATAATTATAGTCGTTTTACCTGAAATTCGGCATGCAGTATTGCTATTCCGCTAACCGCTCGGAAGGGTATATGTAGGGTGTTTGAACACTACTAAAACATTCTATGTATATTCTTACTGCTTTTTGTAAAACTATACTTCTATGTTTTTCAAACTAAAAAGAGTTTTTAAGCCATTCTTTTTATTTACAAATAAACTCATATATGCCACTTAAAAAATCCCACTATCTTATGAAAAATGGATAAAATAGTCACCATATCTGATCTATCTGAATTAAATATCTTTAAAACACTTCAATTAAACACTTTATGCCATCATTCTTGTCCCTTTAACCCTTGTTATTATTAAGATATCATATTTTTTCCCAATGCCCAACCGATTGACACTCATCATTTCGGTATGAGTAGAACAAATTTGTTGCTCAAAGTGTTCTACTAGGAATAGTTTCTGTACTATCAGTCCACTGCGGGACTTGCTCCCATAGTAAGGACTTATACTACAGAGAATGTACCGTTACCCCTTTAAACTTTGGCCAGTGGGTGATCTTTTAATTGAATTTTGGTAACGGTTACCCAGGTTCAAAAATAGACACTTGACTAATGAAGTACATGAAACTTTTAACAATAAAAAGTAAATTTTATTATAACTATAAATTATCAACAAACACAATCCCGATCATTTCCAGATGCCTTCATGTGCACTCAAAATTTCAATTTATACACTTTTAAATTTCCAAATGGTTATACTCAAGATAAAACTTTTCGATAAAAAGCACTTTTAAATTTCATAGGCATAACATTCAATTAATTCACACTAAAAGAGACAATTACGAAATAAAATCCTAGCTCATTCTAAATTTACAAAAACATTTAAATTTTTGGTCATTATATTCCTAAAACCGATAATTAAAATTAAATATCCAAGGCTCATCTTAAAATAGGTATCTTAACACCGGATAGAAATAATTTACAATACGGAATAAAATGCTCTTCTAAAAAGTTACTAAAAAGGCAAGAAATTAGAGTTTATAAATACAAAGGAACTTGCAGATCACTTTCTGGAACGCCCACCGGGCCTGCAGCTAGACTTGTGGACTAGGAGAACTTCGACTTTCCGACCACCATTCAGTTCATTAGAAACACTCTATTTTCTGCCGAGGAACGCTCAATTCTTGCCAACTGTTTTGAACTTAGAGGCACTCCGTCTATCATTTCCCGTCAACTATTCAGAGGCTTCAGATCAACTTTCTTCCAGGCAACAGCTCATCCGATCAATGTGGCGTACTTAGTCGCGGTATCCAGGGACTCTTTCCAAATATCAACCTTTTCAGCATTTCCGCCTAGATCAACTCACTCCGAGACTCCAGCTAAATCTAAACTCATTCTCGATGATACCGGCTCAGAACATACTTCTAACAGCCATGATAGATCCTGTCAGCGGTGATGTTTCAACTCAACATTCCATCGGGCACGATCCGCACTCCCGTCGTACTACTTTTTCAGGCACTCCCGTCTTACTACTTTTTCAGCCACTCTTCACGCCTCTTATACTTTTCTCAGCAAGGCGGAATAATTCATACTGACCTGTTTACTCGCTCAAAAGTCATCCCGCATCCAGTGGACGTCAGAACAAAAAAAAGATCCATAAGAAAAACCAGCTACAACCCCACTAATACGCCATAAAAGTGATAATCCAAACCTCCTTAAATGCTAATACAATTTATATCCACAATCCACCCCAAAAATCCCATTTTAAAAGAATAAATAAAAATTTCTCCCAAAATATAATTTTGATTGCATTTAAATTTTATCATAGTGGTGCCATCTATTGAAAAATAACCCTTCTTTAAAAAGTATTGATACAAAAAAAAACTCCAATAAATTCCTATTTATTACAATTNCATTATTGATCTAGGAAAAAAATTATTTTTCGCGAAAAAAATGGCTAAATAACATTTTATTTAATTGTTATTTTACCATATTCAAGCAAAACAGTCAAATAACCGTAAATAAGATAGTATTCAAATTGTTTACAGTAAAAAAAAAACAGTTTATTAACGGTTTCAACTAATACGGTTAAACAACATTATTTTATCGCAACAATTAGGCCCAGCTTATGAAATCACTTAGCACTCTGCAGTCTAGTACACATTATAGCCGAGAGGGCTATTCAGTCAATCTCATGAACGTCAGCAAGGGGGGGGATGTCAAGCATTGACATCAAAATATCTCATATATTCTCTTCAACACACTAAGACTTTCCCTCCTCCTGCACTCCTAATTTGTGACTCTGGATTATTCGCGCCATAAAACTGCTTTACACAAAAAGTCTAGGATTTCTCCTCTCTTATTACAGGTGAAAAACCAGAAAAACTAATTAAACCACATTCTTCGGTTCATTTGATAAAACACAACTCAACCACTACCTATTTTCGAAGTCCATTACCTAACTAAAAGCCTAGCTAGAAAGTGAAATTAAATTTCTTTTTTGCGGTTTTGAAACCATGATAGTAATAAAGGGTTTCAAAACCATAAAAGTATAAAATGTTCTTCCCGTAAACGTTGCGGTTAATTGGATCAACTGATTTCTACTAATTATTTATTTATTGATTGAATATACGCAAATTACGACATATAATGCATATTAAATGTTAGTGAGATTCCATTAAGAACTCTGCTGGAAATTTCATTCCAAAATTACGGTAAAATAACTAGCCGCAGTCCATCTAGCATTACCGTAAATAATATTGTTTAACTTTATGGTTTTTAAAATGTTTACAACTGGTATAGTTAAATAAACTATGATTACAAAACTATATAGTTTTTTCACTATTTAAAACTACCTTAGGTATAAAACCATAAAAAAAATCTTATTAGACATTGGAGCTAGGTTGTGGTTGAGTTGTGTTTTTACTAGATGAACCATGAAATATTATTTATTTAATTATTTATTTTATTTATGTATTCCTCTATTTTAATTGTTTATTTATTTTACTCAACTTAGGACGTTTATTACATTTTAAATGAGAGCGAGATTCTATTGAGGGCCATTTAAAAGATAAAATAAGCATGCAATAATGTAAATAACATAATTTTCAACATTGATTCATGATAGTGATACATTCAAAAAGTTATTCTTATTTAATTTCTTATTGTCATAAATTTGACTTAAAACATTTTTTTCTCTCAAATAGTTGAAAGCAATGATTTTTCTAATTATTTACTTATTTTTTTATGATGCACAAATTAGGATATTTACTTCAGTTTAAATGTGAGAACGTTTTGATTGAGTGCTCCTTGAAAGATAAAATAAACAGGTAATAATAAATTGCATATATATTGTGTTTTCTTTCAAGCATCAATATATTCAAGCGTTTTCTTTCAAATAATTGTAAAATAAAAATTTCGGTACTTTATTTATTTATTGGTTAACACTTTGAAGTTAACATTTAAGGAATTAATTATTTATTAGTTTGAGAGAAAAAAAAGATAATATTTTTATTATCAAATTCTTATGGAACTTCGAACAAACAGAAAAATAAAATTAAAATGAAACTAAGTTAACAAGGTTCCCTGATTGGTGAAAATCACAGTTAGTCAAATTTTCAGACTAACCAATAGAATAAATTTAGGAACACTTTTTATCTTGAAATAAGAGATCCTGGTATTGTTCTAAATACAAGAGATTTTGGTTGCACTTTCACTGCATACTTTATTCAAGCAGTCTTATCTCATACTATCAAAGATAAGCGTAGAGCTGTTTCACTATATAAATCAAAAGTTTTGGCAATAGTAATTATTCCGAAATAATTAGTTACATTATTGTTCTTCAACTTGAGAATATTCGAAGCATTACATAATGTAAGTATTCATTATTTAATAATATAATTAAATAATTGATATATAAATGATTTTTACTCAGTTCTTTCATTAAATTTGAACAGTATATATTTTAAATTATTTTGTGCCAATTGATTTATACTTTATCTGCTAAGTAATTATTATTTAATTGTCTAACTAAGTAATTCAACTATAGAAATGTTTTTTTTCTCTATTCTTTTATTTTGTTGTAAGAGCTTATAATTTAAATGCTTTTTTTTATAAATTATTATCTTTTTTATACATTTTGAAATAATAAATATTGCTTTTTAATAATTGGAAAATTCATTATATTTAACAATGGATTTTTTTTCAAAATAAATAAAATAAAGTTATTACTGAAGAAAACGATTTACTTAAATAAAGTTATAAAGAGAAATATTGAAGCCTTCAACGAATTTTTGAGACATACGTAAACTGAAACAGTATGAAATTGTAATAAAAATTACGTCTTTTAATGTGATAAAAGAAAAAAAATACATCAAACATTTATAATTTTACTTTCATTTTTTGCAAATGATTACTTAAATTAACTAAATTTATAGCAAAATAACTGTTAGAAACATATGTATCATACAGTTAACATTCTCTAAAATTCCATACGCTATCTTACAACAAAAAGTTTATTCGCAGTAGTTAATATATTTTAATAATAAAATACTTTTAACAACTTTATTTTTCAAAACGCTTCGTCAATGTTTATTAGAAATAATGTTTAAACGGAGATGAAATTTGCTTAAAAGTTTGGTACAAATAAAGCAAATATTATATTATTATTATATTGATATTATATTAATATTATTTGATAAAAGTGATAGTGTTTGTAACTGTTGTTTGGAACTTATTTTTGCAATAGCTTTATCAAAGCTTAAAAGCATAGCAATTAAACTACTATGAAGATTAACAATTAAAAACTGAACACGTAAAATGTAAAATATTAGTATTGTTAAACGATAAGGATTTGATGATATAGTTTTCAAACAGTAAAAGTAAAAAGGATTAAAAAAAATTATTTTGAAAGCGATTTTTCAACGTTTTATGTCAATAACAAAACTGTGTAAAAATTTATTAAAAATTTAATTTTGGTTGAATGATAAATATTTAGATAGTTTTCTAGTAATTTAATTGAGACTGTTTGTATTTGCTATCTATGTTCATACACAACAACTTTGAAGAAAAATTTTAGTATTTGTTGAATGATAAAAATTTAATGATATCAATTGCTAAATTTAAAAATTAGTCTGTTTGAGACTACATTTTTATAACTGCTTCTTCGATTTTTCTTTCGAATAAAAATTAAGCTTTGAAGAAAAAATTAAATTTTAGCATTGTTAAATGATAAAAGTTTTATATCCTTTTCTAAAATTAAATGAATAATGCTTGTAAGTTTGTTTTAGTAACTGTTTTACTAACTTTCAATAGGAATAACCAACTGTTAAGACGAATAATTAAACATTAATTACATATAAAGCAACAATTAATTTTCGTAAAATAAAAGAATGACCTTTTTTATTTATTAACAATAAAATTTAGATTTTTTTAGACTTTCTTTTGTTAATGAATACTGTCAATGACAATTAAAGTATGAAGAAAAATTATTAACTTTTAAGACATTGAAATGTAGGCACAGAACATTTTAATTTTTGTTTGAACATAAATATTTAATAATATAATTTGCTTACAATGAAAGAGAAACTGTATGAACCTTTATTTTTTTAACAGTTTTATTAACTTTCAATGACTATAATCAATTGAACGCAACATTTTGAACAAAACCTTCCTTAAGAGACGAAGCATTTTATTTAAATTATCGAAAGCCATAAATAACCTAAAAGCTCCTACGTGCAATGATATCTATTTTAATAAACTGCAATCTGCTTATGTTTAAATGAAACGGGAAAAACAAATTGAAAATTATAAGATCCTCGATCACGAAAAAGTTTTACTTGAAAATTACTAGCTAATAATTTTAAGAAAATATTCTGAAAAGTGCATTTCGAAAATTGTAAATGAAAAATGTTTTCTTTTTTTAGTTTCTTTTTTATTTCAAATTACATTCTTTGAGTAAATTATCATCATTTGATATCACGGTAAAGAAAAATCTTTTGAAATTCTTACTTTTTTTTCAACTATTATTTTAACTTTTTTGTTTGTTTACATAGGAAGGTACTACTTGTTGTCGCTGGCGTCCTATGCTTGGCATTATTGTCTGCTGCTGAGACATGTGGCTGGGGTTCTTGCCCTGGAGTTGGCAGTGAGTACAGTTTAATATCTTCTAGAGAATCTAAACACTTTCAATATGTTTTCAACACAAATTTAATATTTTCGCAAGTCGATTGCATTCTATTTGTTTTCTATAAAAATCCTTTAAATTTAATTATAAATATGTCGTAAAAATACTAGCAATTTTAGATAAATATTGATATGTTTTCGTGAAAAATGCTTTATGACTCATGCATATTGTATAAAATGTAAAAAAAATATTAATAACACAATTTACCTTTAAGAATAATTTCACATTCTGGAATAATTGCACTAGCAATAAATGAGACTTAATTTTTTTTGTTCTTATTTATTTAACTGCTGAAAGTTTTTGTTAAATATTTACTGTATGTAGACCTTTTTAGTTAAACGGATCAAAAACTTTCCACTTTTATTATCAAAAAAGTCTTAATACTCCCTTCATTGCATTTAAATACATAAGAAAAAGATTCATTAAACTTTTCTTTTAATAATTAAAAGCAGGTCTTGATAATAGCCTATATCCTCTTAGCAGTTTCGGAGCAAAGAAAAACTCTCACCCCTGGATATATTTAAATTTTAATAAATGTTTTATTTTTTATTTTTTAAAAAAAGGGCCCCTCAAACTATTGTGGATCAAATTACAGTATAAAGTACCGGTACTTTAGGTGCATCGTACGCAAAATCTATTTTATTTTAAAATCCATATTTACCACATTATATTGCAATGGTTACAGTAAAATTTAATTAATTGGAATAGTTCAGTGATTTTTTTTTTAATTATTGCTTTAAAATTTACGGTATATCAGATTTTTTGTTCCGTAACATGTTAAGTAAAGAGATGGATTTTACGGGAAAAAGTACGAGCACCTGAGTGCCAATATTTCTTAATGTATTTTTTCAAAGTTCAGGAGTTTAATGCTGTAGACCATTATCTTATCAGGTAGTATTTTTGCGTCCAAAACTTCATATCATTCATCCAGAGAATAGAAATATATTACGAAATATGCGTCGAAAAAAGTTTGCAGAAGTTCTATAAGTAAAAGTAAAATTTTAAAAGGATCCTTTTTAAAAAACTAAGTTCAAAAGTTGCGTAAATTTAGCGTATTTTATATAATGCTTTTGATTTTTTTCTCTAAAGGTCCAACAGTATGAGTAGAAATTGTAAATAAACTTTTTTCGGGAAAATAGTTCAATTAAGCTAGCTTTTCCATGCAGCAAATTATTATCTCCATAGCCAAATAATTTGTTTTCATAACTACAATAACTGCCAGTTCGAGTGTCTATTGTCTGTGGTAGTTCTCGTAATAGCCAAATAGTACATCTAATGAGGAAACTACCGACTATTGGGACACTATGCACTATTTTCACTACGTCGTACATTTATTGATGAAAAGACTGAATAATCTTTTCTTGGATAATATTTAATTTTTTTCATTCCTTTTCCAGGATGTTGTTACGGTGATAGTCAGGTCTACAAGTGCGCTCCATTCGACAATGCTGTGTGCTGTCCTGGAGGAGACTACAGTTGTCCTCCAGGAAAATCTTGCGTCAAAGTCCTTTGGTTTTACATTTGCGTGAATGCCATGGCAGTCACCAGCGACGGAAGTTTCGATTTTCAAAAGGGACTCTCGGAAGCACTCATGAATACTAAGAAGAGTTATGTTTAAGAAATACAAAAGATGTTACTGAAATGTGTTCGGAATATATAAGACTTTTATAAATGTCTAAAAAACGAGAAAGAATAAAATATTTGTTTCCATCAATGTGCATGAATTCATGTGAATTTACTTCCTTTTAAGGAAAAAATCAATCTTAAATGTAATATAAATTTATAATATTTATCATAAAATATTATATTATGCATTGCAGATATAATACGAAATATAAATATAAGTATGTTGTAGCTTTATTACGTAATACAATAAATGACTAACAGTTTCAGATCATTATTTTCCATTTGTATCAAATTTATTTGAAAATAGTATATTAAGTAATAACTTATTAAAAATAGTTAATTTTAGTTAAACAATAAATTTGAATTTTAATAATATCTATAATTTAACAGCATTTTTTTTTAAATAAAATTTAGCAACATTCTTTAGTCACATTTTTTTTTGCCTCAAATTCAGATTTTTTTTAATTTTATTCATATATTTATTTTATTTATTTATTTTTCTTTTTTTAAGTCGTGAAATGGCAAATGATGATAAATTAACTATGTTTAAGTAAAAGAAATTTTTAATTATTATAATGCTTTTCCATGATAAATAGTAATAATTTATAGCAAATGATAATTTATAGCAAATGGCAAATGATTAATTTCATTTAGGCAAAAATAACTTTTCAAAAATCACTCACAAAATCGGTGTAAGGCAGGGAAAGGTGATGCATTTACACGAAACCTCGCATTCCTATTTCTCTGTCCCGTAGTATTAAAAAACTAATTAAAAAATATAATATATATTCCAATTTTTTATATTATTTTCTGAATCTCAAATTTGAAACTTTTATGTACGATTTGAAAAAGGATAATGAGACATTCGTGACATTTTTGAGAATTGTATTGAACATTTTTGAGAATTTTGAAAAGAAAAAAAAAAAAACTAAATAATTCCAAATTATAGACTCAGAAAACAAGATCTCTTTAAACATGATCATTTACCTGACACTTAATGTAAGACTTTGCACTTTAATGAAGTGTGATTTTTAGAGACAATTATTTACTTTTAACCTAATAAAATTGAGATATTTGACTTAAAAACCTACTTCTTTTTCCAACAAATTATTCTTTCAATAGTTATTTCGATGCGAACATTTTAATATTAATCGAATTATTACATCTTTGATAACAACGCTAATATTAATATAGCGTGTATAATACATTTTTGAACAGCTCTCACAGTTATAAAACTTATTGTTTATTTATAGCGATGTAATGTACTTAATTACGAATGAACAATTCTTATTTTAAACTTATTATTTGCTACGGCTTCAGTACTTGAAATTCAAAAATGCTGTGGTATTTTACGCAAGGGTACTTTCACTAGCTAGTTAGATATCATATTAGCCAACTTGAAAAATAGGATTTCTAAGTTTCTGAGTTTTATTTTAAATTTTATTGTATTATCTAATATATGTAATTCTCTTACGTGTCTCCCAAATTTTGGCTGTAGTTCATTTCCTCTGGTGGCAACAGTTTTCATTTTTAAAGAAGTACTTTGTACAACTAAATAAGATTCTTTTCACAACACTTAAATATTTACTTTATTTTCTTAAGACTGT